TGGGTCAAATCAAAGCAAGGCAGCACAGACACCAGTGCTGCTTGGCACCACCCAGAGCTCACCTCCACTTGTATAGACCTCCAGCTGTCGGTTGATGTTGGATTTATCAACCAGAGAGTGCAGCACATTAAGAACACTGTGGACGTTCCAGATCTTGGGGTTGGAACGAAGGAAATCAATTTCTTCTTCAGACTTTTTGGCTGTTTTACAGCGGTACTGGCTGAAAGACTGGAACTACAGGAAAAAGCAGAGATTCAGTGATGACCAGCTTCTCTAGAGATGCTCAGGTAAATGCACTGAGCTTACAACTTGCTCACACAAATGCATTACAATAAACTACAAGTTGCATGGGAAAAAAAAGTTTCACGTGAGATCACATGGAAATCAAAATGACAGATTATACCACCTTTAAAGCACCTAAAAGAATTATACAGTACAGAGGAAAAGGCCAGGAAACAGATCAAAGCAGAAAAGGATCTCTTAAACAATTAGGAAAGGCAATTAAACACAAATTTGCTGTCTGAACAGGTAGAAAAGAGAATGACTGAATTATAAGATGTGTTTGCATACACACATCTTTTTCCCTTATAGGCACACAATCCTTTTTGCTCTCAAGATTGACAGACAACACTTGAGGAATTCCAGGCAGTTCTAGAATAAAAAGTTACAGAGAAGGGAATATATTCTCTAAAGAGAAAAACCAATAGCATTTGAGATTTGTACTGTGGCACTCAGAACAGTAAGTGCTGAGTAAAAGGAAATATTCCTTAATATTAGTCAAGACCTCAGACCACAGCTTATTCCAAATCAGTTCATCAATCTCTCAGTGCATGCATAAAGGCCCTACTGACTAAGAAAGACAGAAATTTTGTTCTAAAAGATAAATAGGCACAAAAGTTCAGGACTCCCAAAAGAGCACCTTGTAACTTAAAAATCTGTACATTTACAACTACTTCATCCACCTGGCAACACAAGAGTAACAGTGATCACCAAAGATTTTCAACCTGCAATGGTACCCTTGCTATGGAAATCACAGCAAAGGAAGGGATGGAAAAATTATACAACTAATAAAGGCAAAGCCACCTCAAAATGGCCCAGTTTTATAATCAGATACCTGGTATATGAATTCATCAATAATATCCCAGAGCCACTGGTTGGGCAGTTCCAGAGGAGCAGGGCCATCAGCATCTGCAGGAGAACAGATGAGATGGTTAACACCTTCAGCAAGAACATTGTCAGAACTGGAGGAATAGACAAATTAAAGAACACAAAAATTTCCCTGAAATGGGAGATGGAGCAGCAGATGAATGAAGCTTTCAGTAGGGCTGAGATGCAGCTTTGACAACCTCAATTGCCTACATTTTCAAAGACTATGAACATGCACAGGGTTAATCTCTAATGTGACTGCTCAGCAGCATCAGCTCTCAGAAGATGCACACAGACTGCAGGGGTTTATCCTAATTGATCCATTCTCCACATGAAGTTTGGCAGGGAGTCACAAACACTAACATTCGCTCCAAGGGGAGTGAACAACAGTAAACAGTTATGAAACACTGCACGTCTTCTTTAGCTTATTGTTTCATTTTACTTTTTAATAAAGATAGGTGAAGCAGTTCTCAGCAAGACAGAAAACTAAGTTTTATTCTTCACAGTATTTCAGAACAAACTCAAACATGCAGAAAGCTTACAGGCTACCTTTCCCTCTATTATTTATAAACAAATACGTTGCAGTTCTTCTGACCCTTTCTTCAGCTCTGCCCTCTCCATCTGATCTTTCTCTCCAAAACTCACAACCCAGAAATTAATTGCAGCAACTCACTGAGGATGTAGTTGAAGAGATTGCAGTAATTGTAATAGGACTCAAATCTCTGCTCCAGCGTGGGCCCCCCCTGCAAAGAGAAGTCAGCAGAGTCTGCTTTAAATCAAGCATGGCAGGAGGGAGGTCATGGGCAACAGCATTAGAAGGACAGTCACAATAGTAGAGGGTCTAGTCCAGGAGTGCTAGAGGCAGTGTTCAACCAGGACACCCACCAGCATCACCCAGAAAACCTGAAACTGTAGCACTATTGTCCCACAAAACAGGGATAACTTTTCCTGTACAGGCAGCTTCTCCCAGGATATCAAGCAGTCAAACCTCCTGTGAATATTCTGCATTAACAACTTCCCTGTTTCCCTCTGCTGTTCAGATTCAAGAACTTCCTGTTACCTTCACCAGCTTTCCTTCCTTCTCTGCTTATGAGAATTCTTAATAGATCAACAATTCTGTTTCTGGACATCATTTCTAAGCAGCTGACCTACTGGTTCTTGTTTCAGCTGGAGACACTGAGTCTGAGAAGCACTAACAGCACAGCCTGAAAAACCAGTTTCTCCTGTTGAAGCCTGGCTTGGGTTAACACAGCAGCCTTTTAAAAGTGCCCATTTCTCCACCCTCTGGTCCAGAGTAAAACTGCAGTTATTACTTATTTACCCATAAGTCATGCATCTGTTGAGACTTTTTTTTTCTTTAAGAACCAAGTACTATGACTTTCTCACTGATTAAAGAGGCTTAAAATAGGACAAAGTTTGTTTTGTTTCACAGATTCCTTTCAATTCCTTTCAATTGTTTCACAATTCCTTTCATTTCCTTCTTCTCCATCCTTCAGGGTACCCATGTTTCCCTGTTCACAAGGCACTCTGATCCCATGTGAGGTTTTTCATGACAAATAATGCACCTTCCTCTTGTGACACCCCTTCTCACTGCCTGCTCATTTGAAGAGGAGCCACAGAGAAACACACAGAAGCAGTAAAAAGGAAAATTCAGTTACCTTCCAACGTCCCCTTCTTCCCTAACTCACTAACCATTCCATTGGCTGTTAGCACAAAGAGCCCCCTGAACACTCAGATCCAGTCTCCTGATTCATCTGAGCTACCAGAGAAACCTGCACACTCATCACCACCACCAAGCTTGAAGAGACAGCTAATGACCCTCAAACAGACAGTCAAGTCTTTCTTGCTTTTCAGCAATCAGTGAATCCTTACTAAACTAACAAAAAGCAAGAAGCTTTCTGCTAAGCTTCCCTAAAATCAGTGTGACTTACAGCTCACGAACCCATCCAATCCTGCCTTGCAAGGATTAGGGGACCACTGATACTGTAGTGGCAGCAAGACTTGTCAAGTTTGCTGGCACAGAGAAGCCAGCATGCACCCCACAAGATGACACAGGGCCAACACTCACGCTGACTTTGGCGTAGATGTGCCTGTAGTACAGCTCCTTGTACAGGATCAGGAAAACTGCATCTGGAAAAGATGACAAAAGAGGACATTAGCAAGCCACAAGGCCTATGAGCCTCCTGCCACACAAAAAGACACTTTGCTCAAGTCTGACTCTTGCCAGGCATCTGCTGAGGGAGCTGTTAGAGTGAACAAAGGCAACTGACTCAGGCAGCAACAACTCTGTGCACCTGCTAACTCAGGATCAGGAGGGATCCGGTTCCTTCTCTCTCTGACAACCCAAGGCAAAGGGGAAGACTCACCATTTCCAACCTGAGGAGCAATGGCCTCAGCCTCTGGCCATGGAGTGTTCTTAAAGAACCTTTCTGTCAGTTTTGTCCAGCTGAAAAAACAGACACACATGCAGCATGAAAATCCACGTCTCACTCAGTATGACAGTGCTGGAGTCAGGGATGACAACAGTGAGAGGCCTTGGACTTGGTGAAAGCTGAGCAGCACCACCAACCCCTGTTCGTAAGTCCAATGTCGAAGCACATTATGAGAATCACAAACTAAGCAGTGAGACTTCAATTTATCCCCCAGGCATGACACAGATGTGTATGTCACTTCCACGTTCCCTTTATGTCAAGCTGACACGGCTACAAGCAGGAGTGGAAGTAGCTGTTGGCAAGAGACACAAAAGCTACACCTCACAGCTTTCTGCAAACTGCCTGAGTAGCACCACTGAGAGCCCTCTTTCCAGCCCCCCTCCTGTTAGGCCAGGGCTGGCACTTCCCTTCAGACAGATCACAGCTCCTGTATACTCACATTAGCCTAATGGGCTGGAAATACCTAAACGTTTTTTTCCACAGTAACCAAACCAAACCTGTTTCAGAGAAAGCCCAAGTTTGGAACAGCACAGGTAGTAGCCAGCCTTTCGTTTTAACAGCATCACAGCCAAAACAGTGATTTCTATCTGCTAAAGAACAGTATTGTACCTGTTCTCATAAATGTCCTGGATCTCGTACACCTTCTGGTCAATAACATCACTGGAAACACGGCTGGCCTGGAGCTCGTACACCTTCTGGTCGATGAGATCTGACACCGTCTTGTGAAAATACTGAATGAAGTTTTTGATCACTTCGGGGATCACCTGGTAGGTCTGCTGCTCGTACTGGCGCTCGTAGGCCAGGTCTTGCTTGGGATCTCCTGCGGAGAAGGAGGAGCAGTGAGGCAGCCGCCGCACGGCCCGGCCCGGGCCCACAGGCCCAGCCGGGCGCAGGCGGGCCCGGGGCGCGCGTGGGGCCCTCACACTCACCCGTGTGCATATCATAGTCGTTGGAGTACGCGTAGGGGTCGTAGGCAGCCTGTGGGGAGAGGGTGGCAGTGAGTCCCCGCGAGCAGCCCAGCCCAGCCCCGGGCCCCGCGCCCGCGCCCCCCGGGCCCCCGCCCGCACCTCGTTGTCGTAGTCCTCCCCCGGGTAGGCCATGGCGGCGGCGCGGCACGGAAAGGGCTCCGGGCGGAAACGCGGGACTGCCGCGGCGCAGGCGCAGGGGCGGGGCAGGCAGGGTGAGGCGGCTGAGCCCTTCTATTGGCTAAAGCAAGTGCCTGTCTTCATCCTGCTGAGCCGTCACGGGCCGGGCGCGGCCCCCTTCCCTATCTGATTGGAGAAGACAACCGCCTGTCAAGCTCTCCTGGCCACAGCATCCACTTCCCTCCCCGCCTCTCTCCTACCCGCTCCCTCCCTATTGGCTGCACGCAAGGGTTGTGCCACCTTTCATTGGTCTAGAAGACGCGGCCCGCCCCGTTGCTATGGTGACGCCCCGCCCCTCTCCCCGGGCCGGGCCGTGACGGGATGGAGAGTGGCGGTGGGGCTGACGGGGCGCCGGGCGCGGGGCCGGAACCGGGACCGGGACCAGAACCAGAGTCAGAGCCGGGGCCGGGGCCGGAGTCGGAGCCACAGCCGCGTATCGCGCTGCCGCCACTAGGACCGGGCGCACCCCTCGGTTACCTGCACGTCGTGTGGCAGCGGGAGGAGCCCGCGGGCAAGATCCCGGCCCGCCGCCTGCGCAGGGCCGCCCGCCTCCACCGCCGGCTGGGGCCGACGGGCAAGGAGGCGCACGGTGAGCGGCCGGGCTGCCCCTCCTGCGGCCGGCCCCGCACGGCCTTCGGGAGGGCGGTCGGCGCTGTTGGGTGGCGGCTGGGGAAGGCAGCCGGTCCCGCCCGGGGAGCGTGCCCGGCAGGAGGGGGCGGGCCCGCGGCCGGCTTCGGGAGCAGACGAGGAGAGCCCTTCTTCCCTGGTGCCTCGATCTGCTTCCCATTCTCTGGAGCCAGTAGCAGCGTGATTTGGCCCCGCACCTGTGCTCGAGCACCGGGATGGAATGGTTCAGTAGGGAAACGTGCCTCTTTCCTCTGTGCTTCCCAGTAATTGCTTTCTTTCCTTCGTAGCTCTGAAAAGGCTGCGTGAAGCTGCCAATAGCAATGATTTGGACACAGGTAAGGCTTCTGTCAGTCCCACTTGGGACCTCTTCTTGGAGGGGCAGTATCTCAAGGGCTCTTTTGGAGAGGAGGAAGTGGGTAGATAGACTGTGGGCAGGAAGCTTTAGCTGCTTCAGATCTAGAAAATGCTATTCTAAAACGCAGGTTTGTTCTCTGAGCAGAGTGGGGCTGGTTATTGTGTTCTCTTTTTCACTGCACCTGCTTCATAGTGTTGGTTTTCCATCTGCCTGGAGCTAAACCAGCACTGCACTGTCCCAGCTGTTTTGGTGCCTTGTTTTGCCCAGTTGTTAGCAGCAAGCGAATCATGTTTTGATTTAGGTGGAAAAGTTACGATTGTCTAAGCCATACCCTGTGTGATGAGGCAGCATGACCCAGTAGATTTGAACCAGGGCCGGAGCTGGACTCTTCTGGTTTCTGCAAAATTCCCTTGTGGTCCATAAATTCTGCTTTCCACATGTCCAACCTCAACACTACATCTTTCTCTCTCAGGTTTTGTTAATTAAAGCATATCAGAGTTAGTTTGTCAAAACATAAAGTTGTAGTAGTTTTTGCAATCTGTGTTCTTACAAAAATAACTTAATGACAACTTTGCTAGGTAATAAAAGAATAACACACTATTTATAATTAATAAATATTTATTGAATGTAACTAAACAATCAACTTAAGAGGTAATTAAAACTATTAACTAAAACTACTAAAAAGTTCTGACATTTCCAACAATTCCCCTCTTTGGAAGTGGTTTTAATTTTCCTTTAAGATTAAAACTTCTGCTAAAATCATTTAATCTTCCACTTAAATCATTGAGTATCTAGCAAAACTTAAGCTATTAAAATGCAAACATTTGCTTGTGTCTTGTTATAAGATACCATAGATCATTCATTCCAAATGAAATTCCAAACCGGGTTATTATCTCTTTTAACAATATCTTGGTAACTTCTCTTGCTTTGTTGGTGCAAGCAGCTATCCAAAAAATGTGTCAGCTCAAACCAATAGGAATCAATAGCCCTCTTGTCGAGGTAACTCATAAAAATCTGTTTGCCTATAAACTCCAGGACAGTTTCCTCTTTCTGGAGTCCCTAAAGGAGGTCTTTTGTACATCTGTGGATTGTGTTGCAAACATATTTTACACTTACTGACTACTCTTTTGATTCCTGGTATTTTTACACTTACTACTTGACGTTTCAAGTTATCTCTAATAGCTTCTGCTCCCCAATGTGTTTTTTCTGTGTTTATCTTTGGCTACTTATCTCATCACTGCTTGAGGTACTATGTATGGTATGTCATTCCATTTCTCTTTCTTTTGGCAACATAACATCAACTCTAAAATACCATTTTAGTGTAAAAATACCATGAACTGGCCACTTTTCTTGATTATCTAATAGATAATCTAGCCACCAGAGAATAAAATATTCTATTACCTGTGTCCAAGTTAAAGAATTGCTTTTAGATTCTTTCTAGTGCTGAAAAATACAGCCTAAAGGCGAACATTTGGGTATTTCCCCTCTTCCTGGGCTGGAGAAGAAAAAGGGAAACCCACAGTAAACAGAAATTCCAGCAATGACTAAAACCGACACGAGAGAGCGCTCTGTGCACACCCATACAATTCCAGTCACTGAAACAGTAGCAGCCGCTGTGCTAACGCCCGGAGAGAGCTCTGAGCCATCGGTCAGCAAGTCATTACCCAAATTACAAAATACTTCAACAATTTACATTACCCAAAACCAAACATTTAGTACACACCAAATACCCTAAAATTCACTGTCAGCGTACAATGGCTTCAACACTCTTACAGCCAATGAATTTTCGTACAAACTCAATTTATACTGATGACACACTCACATTACCACACACTTGCATTTTCCAACACTAACAGATACCATAGCATTTAATGAGCACAGAAATATTTGGGCACACAGCGTGGCTCTTTGTGCAAGCAGCACTGTCTGACTAATTTGTGGGCAAAGCAGAGGGTAAAGACTCAAACCACACCTTTTGATAGTCAGTTATATAGCTTTACAATTACAGTTTTCCAGCTGTAAGCAGTAGGACTCAAACACAATTCCATTCATATTCACTTACAGAGTTTTACACTAACTTTTAATAGAAAATAGCCAATTATGTCATCACTTTCTTAACTCTTAATATGTTAGAGAGTGCAAGCTTATGATTAGGTATACCTTTTTAAACCTTCAGGAATGTTTTAATAAACTCCCAGGGGTTTTTACCTTGAACTCACCTGGATCAGAGGATTGAAAACTTTCCCTGAAAAAAAGTCTTTCAGTGTGCACCAAAGTCCTTGATCCTGTAAGTCTGTGGAACATCAAATGTGTTGTCTCATCTGGGTCACCAGTAAATTGTTGCGAAATCCTTCAAAATTGTTGGGGTAAATAAACCCCTCTAACCCTTTCTCTTTAGTGTTAGTGTGTAAGATGTTACGTTGTTGTTGGCCAGGAGGGATTTGTGTGGCTTACAAAATTCTGGCCTCCACTCAGACACAGATACAAAACTTCTTCACTTATTTATACTTTTTAGCAAACAAATAAATTAATGTTTGTTGGTTATAAATTACATCATTCTCTTTTATTAATAAGTACTCTGTCCTCTGTGGGATATTGATTTCTCACTTTCCATGCTGGTTAGTCTACATTTTTAGTCTTTTTAGTATCTTTTTCCTCTGGTAGGGACTTTGCAACACATATACTGAGTCTTTGTTAGTCCCTTCTTTATCTTCTGGTTTCTGCAAAGTCCTTGTGGTCGATAAAATCTACATTCCAGATGTCCAGCCTCTACCATACATCTTTCTCTGGTTTTGTTAATTGAAGCACATCAGAGTTAGTTTTCAAAAGTTAAAGTTTCAGTTGTTTCCCCAAGCTGTGTTCCTACAAAAGTATGTTATGACAGCTTTACTAAATACTGGCTAAGAATAATTTAAGAATCACACACTCTTTCTAATTATATATATAGATTATGATTAACTAAAGCAATTAATTTCAAAGTTAATTAAAATCACTAACTAAAATTATTAAAAAGTTATATAATTTCCAACAGGAAGATGAAAGAATGCAGTTTTATGGAAGTCTTGGTTTCAATTCACCTTGGATTTGATAGACAGGTTCCCATGTTTACAGTCCTCTTGTGTTTTGTTTACTCTGCAACTTGAAGAAGTGTGCTATGATTAATTTATTTTTCATCAACAAGTAAACATCTTTGCTGTTTCCTGTGGTGGTACTGGGTGGAGAGGTTATGTCATTCCTACTTGGTTCAGGGGAAGAGTAGCTAAAGTGTTCCTATTAATGGTTCTCACTGGGGCACTGTCAGTTTCCCATTCTTTCTTCTGATGTATCAAACATTCCATGTTAATGCCACTTCCATCTTTTTAGGTGTTCTTTTCAGTTCTGTACCACCCTTGAAGTAGGATGTGTACAGGAAGAAATTCAAAGGTGGCTATAATTCGCTTTCTAGAAGCTGAGATGAATGGTGGCTTTCAGTGGCCTGAAACAGTCTTGACTGTTGTAGAATATGCTCTTTAAAGATCTCAAAATATAATGAACCTATCAGCATTTTTAACAGCTATGGAATGAGCTCTATTTTACACACCAGGTAGCATATCAGGATGATCTCAAAACAACAGAAGTAACAGCCCATACAGATGCCCCTAACCCATGTTGTGTAGGTGCTATTTTTGTGTTCCTAATCTTTCTACCCTTTACTGATCTCTCTGCTCGGCTCTTGGCAGGTCAGTGCATTCCCGTGCCTGCTTCCCAAACTGTAGCCACCACTGGTTAGGAAGGGGCATCATCAAAACAGTTGTGAAGAAGTGGCTTTTCTCACTATCTGTGGTTGCACTGTGAAACTTCTGACCACAGGTCCATATTGATGTCAAAACTTTACACAGGTGCAGAAAATGATCATGTAAATCCACAGGGCAAGCCCATGGAGGGGCAGTAGTAAGCACAGGATGCTAATTCTAGCTTGGGAAGTGCCTGAGATGCAGCTGACTAAAACCAAGAGTTAGCCCCACATTCTTCCTGTCCTTTTGCATTCTTCTCTAGGTATTTGCTGCTGGTTGTCCTTGGAGTCTTGAAAATTTGGCTAGGTGGATCTTTAGCCGTTAGAGCTGTTGGCTTATCTTTTATGGCAACATGTGGAAGGTGGTGAAGGCTGAATCAGAGGGTGGAGGTTACACTGCTAAGGCTGGTTCTGCTGAGCTAGGATACTGGAGGTAACTGGTTCAAGTCCAGTTGACTCAGTTGATGGATCGATGCCTTGGATCAAGCTGGCAGAACCGCACTGCACCTCGCTAAGTCAAAGCTGAATATCCTGTAGGAAGGATTCTCTCACAGCTGCTAAGTTGACTTAGCAGCTGACAGCATGTTTCTGTACCCCCAAAAGAGCAGATAGCACTCTCTGATCAGGTGCCCCTTCAGCTTACTTGCTTTTTTCTCCTTGGTTCTGTCAGTGCAGCAACTCTTGGAGGATGGAGCTGACCCCTGTGCTGCGGACGACAAAGGCCGGACGGCCCTGCACTTTGCCTCCTGCAATGGCAACGATCACATCGGTGAGTGGAGGGGAGCTCTGTCTTCCAGCCTCTCTGGAAGTGGTGGGGATTTTGAAGGGTGCTCTTTATTTTGCTTCAGCACCTGTCAGAGGTTGCTTTTTTCTGTTCCTTTTGTGTCAAAGTTGCCAACTCTGACTCCAGGGTTTGCCATGTCTGCCTGCTTGAAGGGGAGCAGGACCTCCCTGTTCTAGGACTGTACTGGTGCAGCGTGAAGGGTGTCCTCCCTCCCAGTTCTTCGCATCAGGGAGCCCAGGAGCAGTGGCACTGCTCCTTCTGCATTGCTGGGTCCTTCTGCATTGCTGTGCAAACCCCTGCCCTGTCTCAGGAAGGAAGCTGATGAGCTGAACAGAAGCACCCTTAGGGCAGCCTGGTGGCTGCCACATGGATCTGTGGCCCATGATCTGTGGGGCAAAGGGAAGGGACTGATGTGTCTCTGTTTCCTTGTTTCTAGTCCAACTGCTTCTGGACCATGGGGCTGACCCAAACCAGAGAGATGGGCTGGGCAATACTCCCTTACACTTGGGTAAGTGCCACACAGATGAGCTTTGCATGCAGAAAAGTGAGGTGAGAACCTCCTTACTGTTCCTTTCCTCTCCACCTTCCTCTTGCCTGTGCCTCACAGAGTGCATCCCCAAATTTAAGCACCTAGGAGGGACTCTTTGCATTTCATTAGATTCACTCCTCACTACTTCACTCCTCAATGATTCAAAATCAAAGAAAAGGTTTGAAAAAATTGATTTCCCTCCCTCTGCCAGCCCCAAGATCTGTTCCAGATAGAGTACTCAGGCTTGAGTGGGTGGGTACCTTAGCATTTGGGCCTTTCCTCTTTCCTCTGGCAGAGAAGCCCTTTGAGGAGCAGCAAGCTTTGTCCTTGAGCAGAAACTCATTTTTGTTTGTACCTCTGAGTTGTGTGTCCTCTGTTTTCCCTCCCCAGCTGCCTGCACGAACCATGTTCCCGTCATCACCACGCTGCTGCGCGGAGGTAACATTTCCTCTATAACAGTTACACCTGTTCCCTTCCTGCCCTGTTGAAACTCTCCAGGGACACCAAATCCTGGTGACAGACCTCACTGTCCCTGGTCGTGCATCTTGCAGGGGCCAGAGTTGATGCCTTGGATCGAGCTGGCAGAACCCCACTGCACCTCGCTAAGTCAAAGCTGAATATCCTGCAGGAAGGATTCTCCCACAGCCTGGAGGCTGTACGCCTTGAAGTGAAACAGGTAAAAGAAACAGCCCCATGTTCTGGCAATGGAGTGCAGCCCCTGGCAGCCTCCTGCACCCTTTACTTAATTGCCTGTCTGTAGGCTCTTAACTGCTGTGGGAAGAATTTGACTTCCATTTTCAGAGACCTTCCTTTTTCCCAGCCTCTACTTTAATTTTTTCCAGGGCCTCCCTTGGCTCTGGTAAGCTAAGGATGCATTGAGTGGATTCTTGGGCTGTATGGAGCATACTCTTTTCTTCAACCACAATGTAAGAGATGCCTTGTGGCAGGAGAGGGACAAGGCACGAGGCTGTAGCTGTGCTGTACACATTTTCTGTATTCCTAACACAGTCTGCCGTGCTCCAGTATGTAGAGGCATGGAACAGGAAAGCACTCCTGGTCCTGCAAATGCATGGGGCATGGGCCTCACTTCAGGAGCCACACAGACACAAGGATTTTTATCCTCTGTGCATGAGCAGATCCTGCTGAAATTAGAAGTCCCTGCTCCTCACAGTGAGGGAAGCTAACTAGCCATTTAAAAAAGTTTGGTGCTTTCAGGGCTAGACCTTGTGCTGCTTCAGCTAGGCTTATCTCTCTTCTCTGTTCTTGACCAGGCACAAGGATCACATCTAGTCCATCTGTGACTGGTGAACACTTCTGGTGACTCACTGGACTCTGATGCTGCCATTTGTGCCATGTAGTTGCTTTGCCTGGGTTCGTTTCTAGGGGTCATGTACTCTGCCATGTGCTGCAGCTTCAAGGCTGTGTGCTTGGCAATTTAATTTTTCCTGTGGAAACACTCCAGCCTGGTGCGGCTCTGTGATGTTTGCCTCTTACGCCTGTTTGTTTCAGATTATCCAGATGTTGCGGGAATACCTGGACCGTCTCGGGAGGCATGAGCAAAAGGAGCAGCTGGATGACCTCTGCTCCAGGCTACAGATGACTAGCACAAAGGAGCAGGTAGGCAGCATTGAGCTACTCTGACTCACCTCCTTGGATTGGGACTCCTGCATTCAGGAGAATGCAACTGCATGAGCAATGGGGCACTGAAGACATGGTTATTGCTCGCATTGGGTCAAGTGGGCAAGTTACACGATGACTCATGGTACTCCTTTAGGTGAACATTCAAAATGCAGAAAGCATCACAGTGCCAAGCAGCAGGAAGCTGAGGATCAGATGGGCTGAGGACACAGTCAGTTTAAGGCCAGGGTCAGCACAATTACACAGGGTTGCAGGGCCTGGGGTTTTTTCCTGCTAAAGACTGGCCCCTAGAAACAGGCTTAGAGGAAATAACCCTGATACCGTGTCTCAGTTTTGGGTAATGTAGCTACATGGTTGTATTTTAAGGACTGGCTAAATCACACAGAGCAGAGGTCAAGCATCACCTCCTGAAGAATGGGGAGAAGCTCCTATTGCCTTAGATTAGGGCTTGTTTGATGATGAGGATAGTAGCCCTTCTGCATGATTGTTGGCACCAAAAGGATCCTATCGTAGTGTAAGTTCAGCATGGACATTACTGGCAGTTCTAGTGCAAGGGTGGTCTCTGCTGCATGGGGGTTTCTTCTGTGGGGCTGGGTGGCTGCACAGCTGCATTCCCCTCCCTGATGGCCATGTGTATTCTCCTGTCAGGTGGATGAGGTTACAGACCTCCTGGCCAGCTTCACGTCACTCAGCCTGCAGATGCAGAAGATGGACAATAGGTAATGGGCTGCCAAATCATCTTCCTGAAGCAGCAGGAGAAGCCTTAGAGAGAAAAGGAAGCTGAAGTTTGCTTCTCAGATCACTGACTAAACATTGCTGCCAGCAGCCATTCCTGCCCAGACTGACTCTCCAGTGGTGCTCAGACTGTTCCTGTTGGTGCTGCCACAGCTGCCCCGTGGGAAGGCAGCAGGCTTTGCACAAAAAAGGCAACAGACAAGAATGCTGCAGTTGTGACTTTGGGGTAAAAGAGCTGTTCTACTTTTTACCAGATGGGCTGGCGATGAATAGAGTACCCTTTCCAGAGATATTTTGCCTTCTCCTAAGTACATCAGCTCAATGTAGGTGGTGACCAATGCCATGTGCAGTTACCAGCCCTCAGTAGTGCACTCAGCAGCTGGCCAGCATCACAGAAATGCCCTGGAACATTCCTGCTTGGAAAAGGCACCTTTTGCCACCTCCATACTGCTTAATTGCATGAGGGAGAAAGTGAATGCCTTGAACAGCAGAAGGCTTTGTGCTGTGAGAAGAACACACATTTAATTCTGCATGCTAGAAGCTGAGCAAACATTCTGCCTTAAGAAACATGCACTGAGGCTTAATTCTCACCCTTCACAGAGCCTGTTGTCACAGGGCAGAGAATGTGTCTGGTTACAAATGGGATACAAAGTTTTTCATGGCTAGACTAACACCTTTCACTGGGCCCATTTTTTAAGTCTGCTGCAAGTTAGTGCTTAAATATTACAGTGTAACACTTCCAAAAAATACCCTGGTACACAGCTAGCAGGTCAGAGATGCCCTGTTGCGAGAGTAAGGATTGGAGGGTCACAGTCTTAATGCATTTCTAGTCAGACATCTACATCTTGCAAAAAAGCCCCACCATAACTAACATTTGTATTTCCCGTTACTGCCAGTCTCAGGCAAGAGGTCCAGTTGTGACAGGAGGTGTTGTGCACTCAGCTGTATTACTGGGCTAGGATGGAGGTGGATTTACCTCTGCCTCAGCAGCACCAAACCCATTGCTCAGCCATTCTGTATCTCTTGCTTGGCATGGAGAACCTTAAGTACAGTGTGAGAAATTAATTATGGCTTATGCTGGGAGCCTGAAGTGATGCAGCTATGAAAGATGCAGGGAAATGCTCTTGCTGCTCTCTCTCTTCTGCCCACTGTGGTTAGCAATGAAGATTTAGGTTGCTTTGCTGTGGAGCAAGGATCCAGGAAATCTCGTTGATAAGGCACCTACAGCAACAGGGTGACAGGGACGTGTCAATAGTGATCTGAGTTCCCACCCGTGTACCACACCATGGTGTGCTGGTAGCCACACCTATCTCACAGCTTGGGAGTCGCTGGTTTGAAAGAGTTTATTATTAATATTCAGTTTAAATATCCAGCAGCCACAGTTTGGAGCATTCTTGAGATCTTTAGGTCAGCATGCTCTCTGATATCTGCCGCTTGTCCAGGAAGAGGCTAAGTGGACCTCTGTTCAAAGCTGAGATACCAGAAATAGGCATGGCTTTTAGATGGGTTCATGTGTGGGCTGCTGGAGGACACAGCTGCGAGCAGCAGTCTCATGGCTGGGCTGGAGCTGTCACTGTGCATATTGATACTTCATTATGATGTGCTGTATGGGAAGGATGCCGAGAGGGTGGGAGACAATCTGACCTTTTTGTATTTTCAACTCCAATAAAATCCTGTCAGCCTTTTACGATTCCTTGGCCAAGTTCTCTTTTTCAGAGCAGCCCATGCCTCTTTCTTTACATCTGTTCCAGGCCCCATGCACAGCACTGGACTTGGTAAATGCTACTCTCATACCTGGTCCTCAAATCAGAAGTGACAACACAAAGTTGTTTGAGTTCAATCACCACTCTGTTTGCAGATCGAAGTACAGTGTTGCTGGCTGACCTTTTCTGATCCTGACTTCCAGAGCCAAGAAACCCAAATTTAAAATCTAGGCTGCCGTGAAACCGTACAAACAGAGGAAAGGGAATCCCAGCAGGAGTGCTTCAAGCTGGAAGAGGAGATATTTTGCAGAGAGGAAAAGCAGCCTTTCCCAGTGGCAGAAGTTGTGCCTTGCCCCATGCCAAATAAAATGGCTGTGCTGTGAAGAGACAGCAAGAGGATGAGGGACCGGAGAAGGACAGGGGCAGGGCAGGGAGCTTCCAGCACGGCCCCTGTGTGAGGAGCAGGTGACCTTCCTGCCCAATCTTTACTGACCTTGTCTCTTCCCATCTTTACAGCCCGGTCTTGATGTCCACATACACTCAGCTGCCAGCGCTTCTGCCCTCAGCAGCCTTGTTGCTGAGGAGACCATTAAGGTGCCTGAAGAGCACGTGGCTAAAACACTCTTTATCCTGGCAGTTGCTGATGTTGTCTCTAAGTAGGCACCTCTTACCAGCTTACCTCAAACCCAGGAACACATCTAGCTGAGACTCAGAGTGAAGCTTTTAGTGTGGGCACACGTGATGTTGTCCACAGCTCTTCAGGCTTTTTTCTTGCCTGGTGCTGGGTTTTTTCTTAACAGCTCCTGACAGAGGGGAAAGGTGGGGGTGCTGCAGCCAGCCAGGAGCAATTGCCTTGCTTCTTTTGCCACACTGCTCCCACCATGGCAGGAGAGGCAATAAAAAACCAAATGGCTATAGGAAGTTTCGCCACTGCTTTAGCAGTAACACCAGGTAAGAAAGAGAAAAGCACATCTGGTTTTCAGTGGAGAAAAAAAAAAGTATCATGTAGGAATTGTATTCTATGAATCACCACAGTCAGTTCTGCTTTCCTGCCTCAGGGCTTGAAGCTGTGGGCTGCCCTGAGCTGTATCATGTGTTTGGCACTGGATGGAGAAAAGTTTTAGGTTTCTTTGCATCAGCCAGTCATACCCAGAGCCTTATCTACCCTGTCATGCTCAGCAGCTGTATCCAGAATGAGAATTAGGTGCTGGGCAGGAAAGAAGCTGTTCCAGGGAAGGAGAAAACATGGCTTCCCACTGTGCTGAGAGCTGCTGACTGGCATTGCCTGGTTTTCTTTCTGCTTCTGGCCTAGAGGCTTCAGCTTCTCCCAGCAGCTTTTCTCCGTCCTTGCACCCCGTGCCACAGATTTCCCTGCACAACCCGTGAGGCTGGTGGCAGTTGTCTGTATCTCCCAGAGGTTTCTGCTGCAGTAATGGAGAATGGAAACAACAGCACAGGTTTCCCTCTGCTATTTATTTTGCCATTAGAATCAGTCCAAACTCCTCATTTTCTTTGTTCTACACCATCAAATGCACCCCCCAGATCCCTTCCTGGACAATGACTAGTCCCCGTTCCCAGGGCCGTGATATCAACTGAGACTTTAGGCTTTGGTTCCCTCTCACCACTACCTGACCTCCAAATACACTCTATTTCCCCTCCTCATTCAGAGCATGGGATCTGCAGAATTCCCAGCTACTGAACCCAGCAGCAACCTCCCTGGCTCTGAGGCTGCTGCTGTACTGTGAGGGGCAACCAAAACCAGCCAGACTGAGGATCTGCCCCAAGCAAACAAACAGCTGAGAACCTGATTGTGTCTCACAGAGGAGCCATAGCAGAAGCAACAGCTCTGACAAGGCCTCCCAGCAAAGCTGCATGGATGTTACTAAGCAAATGACCTTTCTCTGGAGCAGTCACTTCACCCACACAATCGAGTGCAAAGCACACACTGAAATGTGTGTGAACATCAAGAATTTGTTCAGCTCTTCAGCAGCTGAAATAATTAATCTCCAACAGCTAAACTCATTTACTTCCTCCACCTTTGCCTTTCTAGCAGACTTCAAATCCAGCACAGCAATTATCTGTGCTGCTAAGGAAGCCCCATGAAGCATCTCTGGCAAACTTCTCACCCTTTCATCCACTTCCTTTGCTCACTCTGTGAGCAAAGATCTCTTCCATCACAAAAGGATACTTACAAAAAGATGCCTTCTTCATGCATTGTGCCTGGCCAGCCTGGGGGAGCATCCCTGGGCAGGTCAGGGCCCATGGCGTGACTAGGTGGAGGAATCAGCAAATTTTGATTAGGAAGATGATAACAGAGGTATGGCAAACAGCGTTCCTCTGGGCTTTTTTATGAAATCTCTAAGAGGGGAAGAATTAAAATAATCAGCTGGCAACCTGCTAGTGCTGGTCTAGATTAGCAACCAGCAGTTAAACCCAAAAGCAAATAACCAGAATTCTCTTCCCCGGGGCTGCCAGATTTACACACAGGGTCATATGCAGGATGAGCTTCTTGGCACTGGGTCTGACACATCCCAGTATGTCAGGCTCGTGTCACACATGCCAGGGAGATGCCAGACACCAGAATCAGCACACAGTTGGCAGGACTAAGTTACTGCACAGAGAAGAGCTGATGCTTACCACTAGACACGAAACTCTGACCTGCTCACACCTCTCCCATTTCATCTACCCTGTTCCAGATCTTGGAACAGCTGCACTTTATTGATGTGGGAAACCAGACCCTGCAGGGTTAAATATGAGCTTGTCAGCCTGAGTGATAAAAAGTAGGATAGAAAATGAGAGAATACAGTAATTAATTAAGGCAAGAAGCTGGGAGCAGAGACTGCAGAATGACAATCAGTCTGGAGGGAAGGCTGCGTGGAAAGCAGCAATCAAACTCCTTCGGTTTTAATTAAACCTGTCTCTCTATCAAGGATGTGACATCTTTGCTTCACCTCTGCTTTTGAGCTGAGAAACCAGTTGGAGCAAGTAAACTGGTACTGGATAGACAGGAATTTCCTTCTGGCTCCAGAGCCTTCCCAACCCAGGCTCAGCACCTGCCCTTCCTACTCATGTGCTCCCCAAAACTGGGCCTTAGCACCAGGCAGAACGTAGTGAAGGGGTCCAGGGCTTGCAGCCACTTGTCGTGCTAAACGCACCTTCTCCCCAAGATCTTCCCTGTCCTCTCTGTCCTGTTTCATTTAGGCTTCACCTCAATGTGCAGCAGTCAGTCCTGGTCTGATCTGCTCCATTTGCAATCTGGGACCAGGAAGAACAGGATCAGGGGTGAGCAACATCCCGGCTGCTCCTAGGCAAGAACAGGCAGTATCCAGCTGTGCCACGCCATTGCTTCTGACTGCTGTTCCCTTCTCCCTGCAACACTTTGGGCTGTGGAGTGAGTCTTCACCTGAAGAAATGATGAGACCATGTGAGCTGGCCACCAGCCATGGCATAATGTGCAGAGGGTGACTGCAGAACTCATTGTTCCCAGGAAGGCACACTGGACACGTTTCTGAAAGAGATCCACTGTAGAGGAGTGGCAGCCACCACAAAAGGAGAGACGTGGAAAAATCAGAAACAGGGAGAGAGGCAAGGGAGGCCCAAAGTGCAGAAAGCAACATCAAGCACCTGAATGGAAAAAGAAAACTAATTCCCAGCACTGTTGGCCTTCCTCTTCAGTTAGCCTCTGCACAGAAAAAGGGATGTCCTTGGAGCCGAGCTCCAGCAAGGTGAACAACAGCTTCAGTGAGCGTTAGAAATACCATGTCAGCTGGGAATTAAGAGTGGGCAGGACAAAGCAAAAAGGAAAGATTTACGCAAACAGAAGTAGGGAACAGAAAAATAAGAGAAATAAGGGGGAGATCATGGCTCTGCTCATGCACATCACAGCTCTGCAAGCTGCCTGATGTCACCCAGCCCCAATGCCAACAGCACTGGCTGGGGCCAAAACTCCTTTACTTTTGACACAACTTCCAGCACCATGCATGGGGACAAGTGATGACACCAGAGGATTTTGTAGCCCATGCAGGGCTCAGGACACTTACAAGTGCCATGACAACCTGTCATTGTTTCCCCTTCAGTGTGGAAGTCTGGGTGTCCCACAATGTCACAGCTTTCCCTAAACACTTTTTCCTAAGCTTCCCAATTTACACCTTCTCTTAAGAAATTACAGGTACAGACATGCCTCACATTAAGGGTTACATATTCAGGATCCACACAGCACTAATAAAACGCCATACACAATTAAAGAAGAGGACGGCTGTTGCAGTCACTTAAAGTTTACTGTGAATATTGAGCTGGGATGATGGCAGGTCTCAGACATGACTGCAGGATCACAGAGGAGGTGTTAGAGGAGTACCGGGGGTCTTGAACTCAGTTTAGTGGTCTGAATGAGTGAGCTCATCTCTCACTGCCAACATAAAACCATCTCAGTGGGGATAAGGCATGGGCATGATGATCCTGGAGGAAAGCAAAACCACTGTGATGCGGTCAGAAAATGTGATGCAAATAGAGCCTTCTTTTTTGCCTCTCTAGCCCTTTTCTAGGGCTTCTTCTTGATCTTGTCCAACAGTTCCTCTTAGAGGGGTCACACCTAGGGAATGGCCAGCTGTTGCCAAAATTTCCTCCTCCAGTAGCTCCTTCTGAACAGATACCACGGCATCTTGTACCTGCTGAGTCCATGCTCCGGTACGACTGGCACCTTCATGGTCCCTCTTCCTGGTGTTCTCTTCTGGGGCTTGGGTCACCTCAGTGTTGCCTCCATAGAAATCTCCTGTCCTGTTGGCAAAACCTCTTTCCATATTGACCATATGGACTTTCCTTCCAACTCTCTTCTTCTTCTTCTTCTTTTTCCTGATCTTGTTCTGGAAGAAGAGGCAGGTGAAGGCCTGCTTGAAACGCTTGCGGAAATGCTTGGAGATGAGGGCGTAGACAATGGGATTGAGGCAGGAGTTGGTGTAGGAAAGGCAGTGGGAAGCCAGGCGGAAAGCGTAAGTGGCCCGGTTGAAGGGAAAGTGGCCAAACCAGAAGCAGAGGATGACCAGGTGGTGGGGCAGCCAGCAGAGGCAGAACAGGATGGCCACTGTGACAATCATCTTGGTGACCTTACGCTTGGCTTTCCGAGACTCTGAGATTCTTTCTATGGGGTCTACAGAAGTCCACAAGAACTTGATGGTCCTAGAGTATGCCAGGCTCACCACGGTCACGGGCAGCAGGTATCCAAATACAAATGTGAGGATGTCCAGAACCTTTCGGCGCTGGTCCTCCCAGATGGGGACACAGAGGGGCACACCATGGTAATGGATTATCTGGTAGTAACTGAGGTAAGGCCCTGCGAAGAGCATCGACAGTGACCAGATTACCACAATGGCCACTCCTGCATTTCGGGATGTGCGGAGATCCCGGGACTTCAGTGGATAGCGAATGGCCAAGTACCTGGCAAGGAGGGGAAGGAGAAGGAGAGACAAAATGCAACATGGGTGAGATGAGGTAGGTATTCCTCCTGCCCTGTGGAGCTGTCATCTGTGTACCCCCTCCCATGCAGCCACCCATCTCTTCCCTCCCAAATCTTTCGGGAGTGAGGGTTACAGTGAATTCACAAAAATATCAGGGTCATTCCAACAGTGTGCCTGGGATCTCTATCATCCACTCGGCTGTGCTAGCTCAGGAAGGGCAAGCAGTGAAGCGGGTAAGAGAAGGATAGGAGCAGGACTCTCCTGTTCCTTCTCAGTTGTGTTGCTGCCCTGGAGGTTTTGCTGTTCTTGCTTATGCATGGTGGATTCCCCTCTTTCCCAAGTGAGCACTGGGTAATTAGGCTGAGAGCTTGGCTTGGTAGAGGGGGGGGCATGGGGAGCTGGGGAGACTGGTTCTGCTGGCCCTACCTCTGGGGAGACCCGACCTGCTTCTTACAGGACACACAACAGGGCAAGTAGTGGCCTTTCTCCCACCCTTAGCTCAAGAATGGCAAACACAGTGTCCCTAAGCCGCAGAACTCAAAGGGAAGGGGGCACTTACCTGTCAACAGAGACAGCAGCCAGGGTAAAGCTGCTGGCATACATGGTGAGGTAGATCAGGAAATGCACAGCCTTGCAGGCAAAGGCCCCAAAGAGCCATCCATCCAGGGTGTAAATGGTGGCCTGGAAAGGGACGCAGCAGATGATGAAGCACAGGTCTGCCACAGCCAGGTTGAGGATGAAGAGGTTGGTGGTGGAGTACTTGACTTGGCCATTCCACAGCAGCACAGCCAGCACCAGCCCATTTCCCACAGTACCCACAAGGAAGATGAGGGAGAAGATGATGGGCACAATAATCCCTGCTGCTCGTAGCTCCGGGCTGTCAGAAGAGATGTTCAATCCCCCTGGCATCTTCCTGTCAGACTGCAGGGATCTGCATTGGGAGAAAGGGATAATAGGCCCCGAGGTGCCTGACCCCAGCCTTTGACACTCACATTTCTCCCAGAGATGCCAATCCCAACCAGCTGGTTAAATGATGCCACCAAGACACTTGTGACATCACTGGCAAGAATGCTGTTGTGGTCAGTCAGCCCACATCTGCCTGACTTGAGCTGAGCTGAGGCCTCCTTCTCCTGCCCAGATTCACATTGCCATCAGAACATCTCCTGTGCTCCCAGCACCCCGAAGGATCCCTCCTGCCCTGCCACCTGGCCTCATCCACCTTCCTCCTACATTCCCAAATCTGCTAAACCCCTAGGGATTGCTTGCTTTGGCAAGTCTAAACCCTGGCTAGCGTTCAACAGGGTCTGGCCACAGGGCCATGGGGTAGGAGGCTCCCATGGGCTGTAAGTGGTGCCAGCACACTCAGCCCAGGGCTGTGCCACCTCTCACAGCAGGGACCTGATACCTGCATCACACCCCACAGCAGCAGCACCCCAACACATTCCCACCCCAAGGGAACTCCTTAAGCTGGGACCCCCTCCACCCTGGAGCTGGCTGCTCCTTGCTCCCCATGCAGTAGTTATGCTCCACAGAGGACAGGCAGCTAAACACACCTTTTCCTGATGCTGAGAGGTGATCCAGGGCTGGATGGTGGCAGGTAGGTGAGGATGGGGAGGAGACCCTGGAGCCACCTGAAATACAACATGATGATCACTGTGAAGAAGCCCGTTATTATCACGGCTTAAGGTATTGTGATTTGCTGCAAAACTTCCTGCAGCCCTGAGTAACGCTGTGCTCAGACAGGGAACACGAACAGCCTATCTCTGAATAAGCCTTCTCCTTGTTATGCTGTCATTAGAACAAATTGTCCTTCTCTGAGCAAAAACAGAGAAGGAAAGACACTGTTATCTAGCTACTGTTGACAAGCAATTAACTCGTTTTGGGTCATGCAAGCTCCTTCACTCCATGCTCCCCCATCCCTCAGCTCACACCACTTCTGCTTCCCAGCTTCTTTGTGTACCACACCAAGAGACTGTCCCTGCCTCTCTGTCTTTGGTCCCCACTGTCCTACTGATAGCTACCCTCCAGCTTATCCATCTGGCCCCACGGGATCTCCTCACTGAAGCGGAGGAGCCCAGTCTCCTTCTGGGCATGCAAAATGCACCAGGGTGTCTCTGCTCAGGGAGCCTGAGGCCACCTTTCAGCTTTGGAAGCTGGCACTCACCTTTCTGAGGAAGGGCCTTCAGCTTTGCGACTTGCTTAGGGGGAGACCTCCAGTCCAGCCCACGCAGTGGTAGCAGGAGGATGCAGACCACAGAAGAGTTTATCTGGGCAGCTCGGTCATCCCATCACTCCTGCCTGGTGCTCCGCTGCCTCCCCCTGCCCTCCACCAGCTCTGCTCCCTCTTCTTCTGAAGCTCCTCTCCTCTCTCTCTGACTCCCCCTTTTCCCTCCCTCTGCTCTTGCTGCTGATCCATAGTTCTCTGTTGGTTTTTTTTTCCCCTCTCCCTGAGGTTGGGTTTGAAGTTAACTCCTCTCTGCCCAGCTTTCCTGCAGGCTCAGCTGCTCCCTGCTCCTCCTGCTGAGAAGGGCATAGAGAAAGCTCACTACTCTCTGATGGAAAAGGGAGGAGGAAAGGGTCCCTTGGACCTCAGCAGCCACTTCTCAATGCTGAGTGTTCAGGATGTGTTTTCCAACGCCTCCAGGGAACGTAAATATCCCACAACTGTGAGGCTCATCTCTGCCCTGTCCCTCAAATATAGGGTCTTAACCCTCTGCAGGATGAGCAATTAATTGCTGCTACTAGATGTTATTAATTAATTGTTAGTAGCACTGAGCAGATTTAGCCTCTCCCACAATGTCTGACCCAGGGAAGGAGGAGAAAGCTGGTTTTGGATTCCATCCAGTCCAGGTCTCCACTCCACGAGTACTACAGTATGGGAGGGAGGACAAAACCTCCACAACGGCCACCTCCAGAGGTCCAGCTCCATCACAGCTGCCAACACACAGGGGTTGGATGATGTGCCAGGAGATGACAGTGACACACAGCCCTACCGCCATGCCCATCCTGGTGACAGGACCTGTGCCCTGAGGACTTCCAGCTGCACTGAGTGCAGCTTGGTAATTCTTTCTCAGCAAGACTCAAAGGCCACCAGCTTCCCTTCACTGGGAAGGTTGTGGGTACCCCTTCCAATGACGGTGCAGGATGTGGAGAAGGAGGCGCTGGCCCCTTCCCCTCCACAGCAGCCCAAATTATCCCCGATAAATAAATTATGGCTCGATGTCAGGAGGGACCATGTGGCTTCTCCCCCCCACCTGCCTCTCTGGTGGGAAGGAGCGAGGTGTCCCCGCCAGCTCCCTATCAGCCGCTGTAAGCAGGGAAAAGGGGAAGGCCATGTCTCGGGACGCGGTGATAACCCAGGGGATGCGGCAGAGTGCAAGCCCGCAGCCGGGCACAGCCTGTCACAGCGCTGCTCGCCATGGAGGGACCACACCGCAGCTGCCTCCTCCTCCTCCTCTGCCTGCTCCCACCACCGGGCACCCCGGGCCCACCGCCGCCTCCGGAGGAGCCGCTGCCGCCGCCGTCCAGCACCGCCGACCCCGCGGCCCACCTGCTGCGCGGCCAGCCCCGGGCGCCGGCGCGGCCCTACAGCCTGTCGCTGTCCCCCGAGGACTACCGCTACGCCCCCAGGCCCCGGCACCTGCGCCCCGGGCGGCTGCGCCGGCTCCTGGGCCCGGCCTTCGACCCCTTCTGGATGGCGACCGAGGAGCCCCGCGGCCGCAACGGGAGCATCCTCGAGGAGAACCTGGAGTCCGTGAGCAGGGACCTGGCCGAGGGTGCCGGCCGATATCGCCGCAAGCTGTGGCGAGAGGCGGAGGGGCTGGAGCTGCCCGCCCTGCTGCCCCCCGCCCCGGAGCTGCCTCCCGAGCTGGCGGGGGCTGTGGCCCGCCGCCTGCGGCAGTGGCTGGTGGAACGGGCCGCCTGCCGCCTCACCTCCGCCTGGGTCGACCTGGGGCCCGTCTTCTGGCCCCGCTGGGTGCGCCACACCACGTGCGAGAGCGGCCCCCCCGGCTGCTCCTGGCCCCCCGGCATGGCCTGCCGGCCCGCACAGCTCACCCGCATCAAGCTGCTGGCCTGGCACTGCTGGGGCCCGCAGCAGCCCGGCCCCCCGAGCTGCACCTGGCGGCACATCCCCTACCCCGTCGTGGCCGCCTGCAAGTGCTCCTGCCGCTGAGGGGGCTCGCGGGTACCCCCCGGCGCCTGTTCTTGCGGCCAAAAGGCCTGAAAAGGCAAACATCTGCCTGGACCCACCCTCGGAGCTGGGGGAAACCCTCCCAAACAGAAATAAACTTCCAGGAAGGAAGTGGGGATGGCTGCGGTCCTTGCTGTATCTCGCCAAAACCCCTGGGTGGGGGGTGTGGCTGCTTTGCCCCTCATCCACCAGTGCCGTGAGGCACTAGCACCAGCAGAGGCCCTTGTACAGCATTTATCTCCAGCAAAGGATGAGGGATGGAGAAATTATGGCACTGAATGGCAGGTTCAGACGCACCTGCACCAGCCCCAGACAGCTCAGTTCAAGCTGGAGCATCCCTGCCTGCATGGTTGGGCTGCAGGCAGGGAGCCAGGGCAAGGGAATTCCAGCAAAAGGTAGGGGTGGGTCACTGCTCGGGGTGGAAACAGCAATGTGGAGAGGGCTGCAGTGAATCAGTGGGCAGTGGGGTATTTTGGGACTGCAGGAAAGCAGCCTAATTAGAGTAGAAGTGGGAGGTGGGCCATGACCCAGGGCTGGAAGCATTTCTGGGGCTAGGTGTGCATGAAAATGGGATGGGATAGGATCCCCCCACCTATCCCACACTGCAGAGGGTGACAGCTCCAGACTCGGGACTGCCTGAGCAGCATACAGGGTATGGGGTAGGTCAGGGAGCCTGGGGTGGGAACTGCATCCTCAAAAAGTGGCACCTGCTTCTATATTTCACTCAGCAAAACAATCCTCTGCTTTCTGGGCTAAAAGCTGCCTAGCGCTGTAGATCAGACAGAGACTGGAAGGCCTTGCAATAAAGAGCAGGAGGATGTGCCTCAATTCAATATTAACATGATGCCTCCAAGTCAATGAGTACGGCATTATTCATTACCAGTGTGCCGTCATCTGACCCTCCTGCCTTCCTGGGATTCCAGCACCACACAGTCTGTTCCCCAGACAGCTCCACAGCCTGCTGCTGAGCTTGGCCTTGAAGCAGGCAGAGTGCAGGGAGTTGGCTGCTGAGGCACCCGAGAGATATGGAGGTGAGAGGGAGGTCAGTGCGTCTGGTGAGAAGAGGAGCAGAACGAGCCCACACGTGCATGCAAAAACAACTGTGAGCATCACAAGACAGAGGCTGCTCTTGCTGCTCTGGCCTGCAGCTGAGCAGAAAGACATCTGTGGGGCTGCTCTGCCAATGAGGAGGACTCGAAAGCCGGAGCAGGGTTAAACTGCTTGGGTTGTCTGCCCTGAGTGGAGCGGAGGCATCAGCAGGGATGCCTGCAGAGAGGGAGACAGGGCTGGGGACCAGCAGGAGAGGAATGTGAGGGAGGGTGGTACAGGTATACAATGGAAGTGTGCAGGTAGGGGGAGCAAGGGGTGCACATGCACTGGGCTCAAACCAGCAGTGATTCAGTTTAGGACCTCAAACCTCCCTGAGCCCATCTGGCTGAACTTTCGTCTCTTCTAGGTTGCACAAGGAGCCTGAGAGCAATCTCCCTGCCTTCCCCATGCCAAAATACTGCCTGTTCAAAAGGGTTTGCAGCACTGCGAGGGCCTGGTGCCACAGGAAGGGAACTCCATACCATAGTTTATCAGCAGGCTGAGCTTGTGGCCTGTGAGAATGGAAAATTAAACAAAATCAGCACACAGTTACACTACCAGCTGTTCTAAAAGGGTTTGGCTGCAGTGCTATTGAACCTACAGGACACATTTCTCCCCTGTCCTTTGCATCCTTGTAAAGCCCTACAATTCTGGATTAACACCTGTATTCTTCTGCAGTTGCTCTGGTTCAGGTCAGACATTATTGCCCTGTAGTTTGCTCCCTGACAGCCTAGTGACACATAAGGACTTCAGAGCAGGTCTTTGCTGATATGACCCAGTGCTCCAGCACTCAGGCACAGCACACTCCACTTCAGCTGGAATCTGTCCCTGGCTGCACTCATACAGCACATAGGCAGCTGGCAGGATGCACAATTTCTGATCTGGAACAAAACTGATGCAAACAAAGCAATCCTAAGAGATGCCCAGGCCCCACTTGTGCCTTTTTGAACGCTGAAATACTACAGCACAGCTTGGAGGAACAAATCCAGAGATTCCTGCCATATGGAAGAAAATTAAAGATTTCTGTCACCTGCTCTGCCCCTGGCCTTGGCCTCAGTCAGATGCAGATTCTCTCACCATGCTGCTGGCCTCTGCCACCTCAGCTTGCTCACTGCCTGATGGCCTCTCTGGGGCAAGATGTCTTTCCCAGGGCAGGTTTGGGAGCACTGAAGCACTGAAGCAACGGGCAAAGCCTTGTAAGTGGGGACCAAGCAAAACTCGCGTCTAACAGCTGAGAGTGAGAAAGAGACAAAGGAGCACCAGAGCTTTGGTGGGCCCATGTCCTCTTTCCCTAACCAGCTGCCAGTGGCACAGGTTGCAAAGGGCTTGGGAAACACCCCTGCCTCAGTGGGGAACTGCAGCAGTCAGATCTGCCAGGGTGATGCTGCTGGACCCACAGGATAGCAGAGAAGAAGCAGGCAACATCAGCAACGCTGTTATTTCCATCAGCAGGAGACAACAGGAACTGCAGCGCTTCAGCATCTGGACTGAGGCTTCAGGGAAGGCATAGCAGAGTGTCTGGTCACAGCATGAGATGATGGGGATGGGGTGCAGCTCCTGGATGAGGAAATAGGAGGCAGACAAATATCCGCTGCACCGCAGGACACCTTTAATGACACTTTTAAGTGCTGGTTGCCAGTGCTACTGCCAGCACGCTGCAACAGCCAGCAGCCTGACTCATGTGACGCAGGCTGTGATGCCTTGAGGAACGGTCCTGCTTTTGGCAGCCTGCTGCTTTCTCCCCATCAGAGGCACTTGGTTGTGGACAGGGATGGTGCTGAAGAGGTGTTTTCTGGCCCTTCAAGGCAGCGCTCCATGCTTCCGTCCCACCTCGGTGAAGGCTTCCACGCAGCGGTCGATGTCCTCGTCGCTGTGCACAGCTGAGATCTGCACCCGAATGCGCGCCTTCCCCTTGGGGACCACGGGGTAGCTGAAGCCAATGACGTAAATGCCTGGAGAGGAAAGGCAGAGTCAGAGCTGGCTGGGATGGAGGCAGGCTGAGATGTACTGGGTGACAGA